GAAATTAATAACTTGTTTCAGGAGACAGTCTCACACAATTATGTACAAAACTATGTTTTATTTCAAAAACCTTCTCAATTAAATTCCACAGACATAAAATAAGCACCGAAGTATAACCCTATACATCAGTTACAATATAAAGTTTGCTTTTGTATAATTCTCTCCAACCGCTTGCTAAAGTTGCCCCACAGGACCAATACATGCAGATAAGACCTCTTTGTATGAGTGGCAGTGTAATGTCTTTGGTAACAACAAGGTTAAATATTTATCCAAATAATACAGATTACACATTCAAAAAGAAAAAAGAAAAAAAAACTACAGGGATAAAAGCGCAAAGCATAATAGATTACATTTAAGATTACCTTCATGAAACGCTCAAATATTAAAAACATGCTCAAAATAAGCTACATCTCTAATAAAAATGTACAACATACTAAAAAACGTGTTTGGATATTAACTGCTTTCAAAATAGAAATTAGTTTCCAAATGTCTAAAATCCACAAAGCTAAAATGTCTGATTCATAAGACATAGGTGTGGGAATGAGACATTTGGCAGTAACAAAACACAATGGATGACACTACTGATTGTCACCTGCAGGCTCCTGTTCACTGATGGCCTTAGGTTCTTGCCCGAGACGGTTTCCACTGAGCAAAACCGCAGTCAACTTCAGCCCAGTCTTGCCTCACTTGGGCTTGCACTGTTAAAGGAGGTGCTTTACTCAGCCGGCTCGGTCTTGTTCTTCTTATTCAGGACTTTGCGGAGGCTCTCAGGCATCAGGTAGGGCCTCTCTGCACTGCCATCGTTCCTCTCAAGATCCTCCACTGGAAAGAGATTCAATAAACTGGCATTAAACTATGGTCATTAGAGCTAAAGTCTATTTCAAACATTTTGAGGCACAGTGTTATCTTTTAAATGAGCGGCAAGCTTCATAATTAAAATATTCTTAACTTGTAAATCTGGATGACGCCATCAACAAATGCATCTAGCTATAATCACTAACTCACACGGTCACCAACAACAACAGTTGAAATCCCTTCGTTTTATGTGGTGGAGGCTCGTTGCCTCAAATACTGTTTATTAAACCAACTGCACTGCAAAGCAAATGGATGTAAAACATTACTTTACAGTAAAAACTTCAATATAACACAATACAAAGCAGCTAGCCTCAGCAACATCACCAGTATTCATTTATACAGATAAAAAAACAGTTGTGTGTGAACAGAAATTAAAGGGCAGTCACAGTGCACCTTACTAAAGGAAGAGCACGGATGATCATGTGGTTCTGATTGCATGTCAGCTGTAAACAATTAGGTAAAACTGTAGGTCAAAAAGGTGCAAATAGACCGACATGAACACTGTAAATTAGGCACATGGACGGCTTCAAGTTTCTATTGGCCAGTGGCAGTGGGAGGAACTATTAAAAGTCCAAAACAGGGTTTAGAAATGTCAGTTCACCTCAGCAGAAGCAATTTATACAGTTTAGTTTTCCAGCATGTTTAAAAGAACCATAAACAAACTACAGACATTTCATTAAAACTGA